GGAGTTTCGCTCTTGTTACCCACGCTGGAGTGCAATGGCGCGATCTCGGCTCACCACAACCTCCGTCTCCTGGGTTCAGGCAATTCTCCTGCCTCAGCCTCCTGAGTAGCTGGGATTGCAGGCACGTGCCACCATGCCCAGCTAATTTTTTTTTGTATTTTTAGTAGAGACGGGGTTTCACCATGTTGACCAGGATGGTCTCGATCTCTTGACCTCGTGATCCACCCGCCTCGGCCTCCCAAAGTGCTGGGATTACAGGCTTGAGCCACTGCGCCTGGCTAAATTTTTGACATAGAGTGTCACTCTGTCACCCAGGCTGGAGTGCAGTGCCTTAATCTCGGCCCACTGCAACCTCTCCCTCCTGGGTTCAAGCAATTCTCCTGTCTCAGCCTCCTGAGCAGCTGGGATTACAACCACGTGCCACCAAACCCAGCTAATTTTTTATATTTTCAGTGGAGACGGGATTTCACCATGTTGGCCAGGCTGGTCTCGAGCTCATGATCTCAGGTGATCTGCCTGCCTCAGCCTCCCAAAATGCTGGGATTACAGGCATGAGCCGCCACACCCAGCCACACACACCTTTATTATTGCAGGGCAATGTCAAGACTCGACCCAGATGAGGTACACCTCTCCCCACAAGGTGTGGCGGCTGGCATGCCTGGGTGGTGAGAATTGAAAGGAGCAGACTTGCTGCTGTCAGCCCAGCCTTCCTTCCCCTCACTCGGAGATGGGGTGCTGTTTGGTTGAGAAACCAGATGAAAAAACTCAGCTGGGCCCAATGGAGACTTCTCGACCAGGTCTAGAAAACCACTTATTTTGACATCTGAGGCTTGTCTATCTGAAGGCAAAAGAAAGGGAAGAAATGGAGGGCTGAGTGAGGGTTCAGGCTTGGCCCACCTTGGGAGATGGTCCCCCTTAACAGCAATTTAGACAGATTCCTTTGCTCACTGTGGACCAAATCCCCTCTTCTCAACAACAGACCCTCTGATCTCCCCCATGAGATGTGCAAAGTGAGGTCATCTTTTTTTTTTTTTTTTTTAAATTAAGACAGGGTTTCACCATGTTGGCCAGGCTGGTCTTGAACTCCTGACCTCAGGTGATCCACCCACCTTGGCCTCCCAAAGTGCTGAGATTACAGGTTTGAGCCACTGCACCTGGCCCTGAGGTCGTCTTATCAGAAAGACACTCTTACCTCAAACAGAGGAATCAGCTCTCTGGTTGTAGCCTGCAGGGGGTCAGAGATGAGAGCAAGAGAGGTGGGTGAGCTGGGAAAAGTCGGGAACACACTAGGAGGCCAAGGACCATGTTCTAAGTCCTGGCACTGATTCCCCAGCTAATGGCACCTCCCCCTTCTGTGCCTCAGTTTCCTCACCTAGTAAAGAGGATTTGAACTAAATGAACTCTAAATTTCCTTCCAACTCAGACATAAAATTGTTGCCCCACTCTCATATGCCCTCCCATCTACCCAGCCCACTTACTTTACATGGGAATGTAGACGTCTCTCTGCACACCTGTGACAATAAATGGGGGTGGGAGAGGTGGGAGTGCTGTGCAATGAGATTTTGGCACAGACCTCCCTTTACCCACCACCTACCTCCAAGCAGCCTTCCTGGGAAATCTTGGAGGTTTTCCCCTGAAGTTTGATCACGGGATATAGGAGGAGGCCAGGCTGGGTGTGGTGGATCGTGCCTACAATCCCAGCACTTTGGAGGCTGAGGTGGGCAGATCACTTGAGGTCAGGAGTTTGAGACCAGCCTGGCCAACATGGTGAAATCCAACTCTACTAAAACTACAAAAAATGCTGTTGTATTTTTTTGCATGTGGTGGTGCACGCCTGTAATCCCAGCTACTCAGGAGGCTGAGGCACAAGAATCACTTGAACCCAGGCAGCAGAGGTTGCAGTGAGCTGAGATCGAGCCACTGCACTCCAGTCTGGGCAACAGAACAAGACTTTACCAAAAAAAAAAAAAAAATGCTGGCTGGTCGCAGTGGCTCACACCTATAATCCCAGCACTTGGGGAGGCCAAGGCAGGCGGATCATGAGGTCAGGAGATCGAGACCATCCTGGCCAACATAGTAAAACCCCATCTCTAAAAAAAAATAAAAGAAAAAGAAAAAAAGAGAGAGAGAGAGATAGGAGGGGTGTGGGAGCCTGGTTTTGATTTGGTTTTCATTGCTTGGATGTTTTAAGAAAACATTCAGGGCCGGGCCACCGGGGGCTCACGCCTGTAATCCTAGCATTTTGGGAGGCTGAGGTGGGTGGATTACCTGAGGTCAGGAGTTCAAGA